AATTTCATTTTACTGGTCCTTCAAAAATGCGACGTCTGTTAAGATTCATCTGTTGAATATACCCAAAGTGGTGTAGGGTATCATATAGTGGCCCCGTCCGACTTTAACTTTCCTTACTGGTTTTTTTCTCGTTTTTTAATGATAGTCAATAAAATATTGGATTTTAAGTGGTTTTAAAAAAATGTATATTTAAACGAGAGTAAGAAAAAATCCATTGTTATGAGAAGAACTGTACATTGTTATACCCTACACAAAGTGTAAAATTACTGTATTAAAATACTAAAAAGCAACAGTATTCAATAATGAACAGAAGCAAATGACGGAAGTAAGGGAGACTTTTTGTTTAGATCTCTATATCTCGGTAATTATTCAAGAGATATATAAAATTTTTATAGCTATAGTTATTGTCATCTGATACTTAATTATAAAAACTAGTACCAAAAACGGTATGATAAAATAGTATGCTTAAATATTCAACACTCATAGGCATAGCCTGGTAATTATTATTGATAACAGTCTGGTTGGAATTCAGATCATCTAATGGCTCTATTTTGTTCTAATATGCGACCACAATATTTGACTATTAAGGTTATATTTTCTAGCGGCGGACGTTGACGTCTCAAGGTCACACACACACACTATCAACGCATTTTCTTCAATAGAAACACGTTTGGTCTTATATAGGGGAGAGGGGGGCAGCTTTGAACAGCGCTCATAAAATCTTGGTTTAATATTTTTCCGACCCGCAACCACATTTTTGTATATGGCAATCCTGTTCTCTATATGCGTAAACCACTTTGGCTTGCTTTTTCAGTTGTCGAAAAATTGTGCATGGGTGACCATGTTTTCTCAGTGTAATTGTAAACTTTTATTCATTTAGTTTTAAGGGCGCAGGAAGAATTCTGTGATAGTTTTCTTTCGTCAAACAAATTTTTTGCATTCCAACAATCATTTCAAACATAACTAATGTAATTTCTTTCATATAAATATTTATTACAAAAAAAGTTATTTTAAATTTCCGTAAAATGCCATGGGTTGGGCACCTTTGAACATGCCCATTAAACTCGAGTAAAAAAAGGAGTTTTTAACATTTGGCTTCGATTTCTCAAAATTTCAAATGGGCTAATATGATTACGAAATTAACTGTATTTTTCACCATATTAATTTTTGTTTTTAAGTCATTTTATGTTTTAATAACTTTTGATGTAAATTTTTTAAATTTTGAATATTTTTATATATTTTTTAATGAATTAATGCATTTCTGATATGTATGAATAAAATACATACATATTTGAACATAAACACTGTAAAAAACCATGTGGTTCAAAAATGCCAACCCCTGTTCAAAGGTGCCCCCCTGGGGGGGCAGTTTTGAACACTTTGAGTTCTCCATTAAAACAGTAATAAAATATATTTCACCTATTAGTTAAAATTTATAAGAAACCAAAAATTATAAAATAAAAAATGTTATAAGGCTTGAAAGCAAAAAGTGTTCAAAGGTGCCCCCCTCTCCCCTATGTAATTTCGAACGATATTAAATGATTGTTTTTAAAGATAAACCGACAAACATTTTAATGAAATAATAGAACATTCTGTATATGGCCGAAAGTACCCCCTCAATAAAACGCCGAATCTACCCCAAAGGTACTTTCTATAGTTTTTTCATTTTTTTTCTATCAATATTTTAAAAGCTTTATATTTTTTTATTATTTTTATAAGAACATTTACTGTAACTAATAACCTTTTAATAATACTGCCTTAAAATTTGAAAAGTTTCATGCACGAAATATCTACGAATTGGAATGGAAATATTACAAAAACCAGTAAGGAAAGTAGTAAAGTCGGACGGGACCGACTATATGATATCCTTTACCACTTTGGGTATATTCAACAGATGAATCCTAACAGACTTCGAATTTTTGAAGGACCAGTAAAATATACTAAAATATACGAAACTATATATAGGAGCTATATCTAAATCAACTTGCCACACGTTATGTAATAGTAACTTCAGTAGGTAGTGCAAAATTTTGTACCAATTGAACCCACCTTGGTGAACCATTAATATCCAAATTGTGTCAAATTTGTGTAAAATTGGACGAAAATATATATGTAGAAGCTATATCGAAATCAGAACCGATTTAACTACAGTTCATTGTACAAAATTGTAAGGCAATCGGACAAAAGTTGGGTCTTTATTAAACCATTTGTATAAAATCGGAAGAAGAGAGTATATGGGAGCCAGGGACGTACGCAGGGGGGGGGGGCGGTCGTATTTTGTTCACAGTAAATTTATGTTTGCAACAGCGATTTTTTTCATTTTGTACTACCGGGCCTCCCGAAATGAAATCCTGTGTACTTTGCTGATGGGAGCTATATCTAAATCTGAACCGATTTTCTGGAAACTTAGCGCACATCATTCTATACCTAATGCATTACGCTGTGCAAAGTTTCGTGCAAATCGAAAGATATATAGGGACTTTAGTGCACCATTTACCTAAAATCGGACGAAAATATATATATGGGAGCTATATCTAAATCCGGACCGATTTTCGGAAAACTTAACACACATCATTCTAGACTCAATTCGGTACGCCGTGTCAAATTTCGTGCAAATCGAAAGATATATAGGGACTTAGGTACACCATTTACATTAAATCGGACGAAAATATGTATGGGAACTATATCTAAATCTGAACCGATTCTCACAAAACTTAGCACACGTCTTTCTAGACTTAATTTAGTACGCTATGCCAAAATTCGAGCACATCAAAAGATTTTCAGGGACTTTGTGCACCATTTACCAAAAATCGGGCGGAGCTATATATAGGAGCTGTATATAAATCTGAACCGATTTTCATGAAACTTATCACACATCATTCTAGACTTAATTCAGTACGCTATGCCAAATTTCGTTCAAATCGAAAGATTTTCAGGGACTTTGGTGCACCATTTACCAAAAATCGGACGAAACTATATATGGGAGCTATATCAAAATCTGAACCGGGTTTTCCCAATTTCAATAGGGTTCGTCCTTGAGCCAAATAAGTGACCTGTGCCAAATTTCATCCAAATCGGATCATAAATGTGACCTGTCCTTTGTTTACAATTTAACATGGACAGACAGACGGATCTGATGGTATCAACGCGCAAGACGTCCAGTAGACTCGGACCAACTGTGGAACTTGAGAACTACAGCTCCGAGGTAGTTAAAGACTTTATATACCTTGGTACCTCCATAAAAAAAAAACGAATGACATCAGTTTTGAAATTCGGAGAAGGATTGTGATGGCCAACAGATGCTACTATGGTCTAAGTAAGCAGTTTAGAAACTAGGCTAACACCCGCCACACTAAACTCACACTTTACAAGTCGCTGATACTACCCGTGCTATTATATGGATCAGAAGCATGGGTACTTGCGCAAGCAGATGAGGCAGCTCTTGGGTTGTTTGAGAGAAAAATTCTCCGAAAGATCTACGGGCCGATCTGCGTCGACGGTGAATATCGGCGTCGAATGAACCACGAGCTTTACAATTTATACGCGGACATCGACATAGTCAGTCGTATTGAGCTGCAGCGACTACGGTGGCTAGGCCATGTTGTGCGGATGAATGAAAATGCCCCAGCTCAAAAGGCATATAAAAATGAGCTTACTGATGGTTCCCGTAGAAGGAGAAGGCCACGAATTAGATGGAAAGACCAAGTAGAAAACAACATCCTGGAACGTGGTCTTCCAAACTGGTGGACAAAACCGACGCGCTTGGAAATCTTTTTTTAAGCTCGGCTTATGGAACAACCGTTCTGTAACAAGCCAGCTAAGTAAGTAGTAAGACAGACGGACGGACATGCATAAATCGACTTAAAAAGTGATTCTCAAAAGGAACATATGTCTATCTCGTTTCCTTTTACTTGTTACAAACATTAGCACAAAGACATAATACTCTGTTCCACAGTGTGGTGAAGGGTATAAAAACATATGTAACTAGTAAGAAGAGTTCAAAAGTCGGACGGGGTTGACTATATGATACTCTTCTTTGGATCGTTTAGAAAATATCGGGCTATATCTAAATCTGAACCTATTTTCTCCAATTGCAATAGGGTTCGTCCTTGGGCATAACAAGTGACTCGGATCATAAATGCGATCTGCACTTTGTTTACAATTGACATGACAGATAGACGGATAGACAGATAGAAGTAGAAAGTGAACCTATGCATATTTTGGGATGGAGATTTGGGAGGGAGATTTGTCACCATATACGAAACGAGCTCAAGAACTCCAAAATACCGATAATTGGGAGTAATGGAAAAAATGGACCAATATCAAAATTTTGGGCGAGATTTGTTACCCAATATGGACTAAAAGTCCTAAAAACAGCCAAATCGGTAAAAAATGCGATGGAAACCCCCAAAATACTTAAAATTGTTTGGTACCTTTATATGGGGGCTATCAGAAAAAGTGGTCCTATATTTATAATTTTTAGTGGAGAAATGTTATACCCTATAAGAACCCAATGTACCAAATCACAGCACGCTAAAAACCCCAAAAAACCAACATTAAGTTGGGTATCCTTATATGGGAGCTTCGCCTAAACCTGGTTGTATACGACTCTATGCAAAATTTTGGTGATCTATCTCAATTCTTGTAGAGGCTAGAGTGATTAGACCAGACATACGTAGACGTATATAAACCGAATGCAGGAACTTTGAAAGCGATTTTGTGCTATAGAGCGGATGGAGACTACACCCAAAAATGCAACATACCTGAGTTCCACAATACAGAACGAGTTAATAGAAATAATTGGAGAATACATCCAGAAGTCTAATGTTGACGAAGTAAAACGTCCTGAATTCTTTTCGGTTTAGCGGATGAAACTTCGAAATTTCCGAAAAGGAGCAGCTATCAAGCAGAAGGATTAAGAGGAAAAGAGTTATCAACCGTCATAATAAACACAATAGCCAGGTTGGGTTCGAATCCAACATCTTTGACAGGTCAAGGATATGACGGCGCGTCTAACATGTCAGGTAATTATAATGGAGTGCAGGTCATAATTAAATCAAAATTCCCTGTATACATTGTACAGTTCCTCTCACATTTTAAATTTACGTTCGATTCGAGAAATTCGAACAATATTTTCTCAAATTACGGAAATTTGCTCATTCTTTTGAAGATCTCCAAAAAGCTCTGCTATTTTATGTAGAATTTTTCGAGAAGCAAATAAATCTTTCAAACGACTGCATCCATATTGAGAAATACAATGGGTTGAGCGCATGATAGCGTACAAATATTTAAGAAATCTATAGAAGAGATAGTACAATCGTTGGTAGAAATATGAGAAAATGGTAAGATTTACTTTGGATTAATTGCTAAAGAAATAAGTAGTGGGTGTTAGATCTTGTAACACATCGAAGAACTTACTTTACCAGCGATTCCACCTCACTGAGAAGTTCGTTGATGCCTGACTTCGTGGGACTGATGAAGATCAGTGGCGAGATCCGAAGCTATAGTCTTCCCCGCATTACCCCTTGACGGACAATCCTATACTTTCCCCACTAATAAATAACGGCTTTAAAAACTACAACAAACTGGAATTCAGACTGAATATTTTGCAAAAACCAAATTCAAATGGTATCCCAAATAACCAGCCAACATACTGAAATTAATATTAACATATTGCAGTAAATTGTCATTACAGAGTTGTAAAATTAGTGACGAGGAGTTCCCCAAAATATACATGGAAGTTATAACAACAAGAAGGGTTGGTGGGCAAAAGTACACGTCAAATGTAATGGGTTCGAACTTTTATAGAACTACATTATTGGACGAACTTATTGTGTATATATAGCAGAAAATGAACAAAATTGTTAAAACATTATCAAATGTAGTGCCATCACGAATTATAAAATTATATAAAGATTTTTAAGAAATCATAAAATTTTATGAACACGATTTTCGAAATTGTAAACAGGAAGTAGAAACAGAACATACCACACAGTGAAATCAATTTCCATATATACATCTATTGTTACAAATCTTAATAACGATACTGGTTACCTCAGCATCAGCTGAAAGAAGTTGTTCTACAATACGTCGAGTAAAAACGAATCTGAGAAGTCAAATGCAAAGCCCACGCTAATATAATAAAAATATATTTTTTCTAAAAACAGAAGACTTGATTTGTAATACAGATTATGTTTATACCCCTCACTTCACTGTGGTATAGGGTATTATGTGTTTGTGCATATGTTTGTAACTGGCATAAGGAAACGAGATAGACACATGGTCCCTTTTGAGAATATGCATAGAATTACTTTTTGAGTCGATTTATGCATGTGCGTCACCGCATTTATGATCCGATTTGGATGGTTCAGATTTAGTTATAGCTCCCATATATAGACTTAGGTAAATGGTACACCAATATTTGTCCGATTGAGACAAAATTTTATACAGCGTAAGTCCCATATATATATATATATATATTATACCCTTCACCACTATGTAGTACTGTGTATTATGTCTTTGTGCATATGTTTTTTAACAGGCAAAAGGAAACGAGATAGACACATGGTTCCTTTTGAGAATATGCATAGAATTACTTTCTGAGTCGATTTATGCATGTCCGTCCGTCTGTCTGTCGATGTTAAATTGTAAACAAAGTACAGGTCGCATTTATCATCCGAATTGGATGAAATTTGGCATAGGTCACTTATTTGGCTCAAGGACGATTTAGATATAGCTCCCATATATATTTTCGTCCGATTTAATGTAAACGGTCCCTATATATCTTTCGATTTGCACGAAATTTGGTACAGCGTAATGAATTAGGTCTAGAATGATGTGTGCAAAGCTTCGTGAAAATCGGTTCAGATTTGTATATAGCTCCCATATATATTTCGTCCGATTTAAGGTAATTGGTGTACCAAAGTCCCTATATATCTTTCGATTCGTACGAAATTTGGCACAGCGTAATGAAATAGGTCTACAATGATGTGTGTCAAGTTTCCTGAAAATCGGTTCATATTTGGATATAGCTCCCATATATATTTCGTCCGATTTAAGGAAAATGGTGTACCAAAGTCCTTATATATCTTTCGATTTGCACGAAATTTGCCACAGCGTAATGAAATAGGTATAGAATGATGTGTGTTAAGTTTCATGAAAATCGGTTCAGTTTTGAATATAGCTCCCATATATATTTTCTTCCGATTTAAGGTAAATGGTGTACCAAAACCTTTATATATACTTCGATTTGCACGAGTTTTGTGAAAATCGGTTCAGATTTAGATATAGCTCCCATATATATTTTCGTCCGATTTTAGGTAAATAGTGCCCCAAAGTCCCTTTATATGCTTCGATTTGCACAAAATTTGGCTTAGCGTGCTAAATTGAGTCTAGAATGATGAGTGCTGAGTTTCGGGAAAATCGGTCGAGATTTCTATATAGCTCCCATATATATGTTCGTCCGATTTTATGTAAATGATGCATCAACGCCCCTATATATCCTTCGATTTGCACGAAATTTGGCACAGCGTACTGAATTAAGTCTAAAACGATGTTATACTTCGTGGATATCGGTTCAGATTTAGATAAAGCTCCCATATATATTTTCGTCCGATTTCAGGTAAGCAGTGCACCAAAGTCCCTTTATATCCTTCGATTTGCACGAAATTTGGCATAGCGTACTGAATTAAGTCTAGAGAGATGTGTGTTAATTCTCGTGAAAATCGGTTTAGGTTTAGATATAGCTCTCATATACATTTTCGTCCGATTTTAGGTAAGTAGTGTACCAAAGTCCCTTCATGTCCTTCGATTTGTACGAAATTTGGCATAGCGTATTGAATTGAGTCTAGAATGATGAGTGGTGAGTTTCGGGAAAATCGGTTTATATTTCGACATATCTCCCATATATATTTTCGTCCGATTTTATGTAAATGGTGCACCAAAGTCCCTTTATATCCTTCGATTTGCACCAAATTTGGCATAGCGTACTGAATTAAGCCTAGAGAGATGTGTGTTAATTCTCGTGAAAATCGGTTCAGATTTAGATATAGCTTCCACATATAGATTATATTTTTAACAACGCGGCGTCCCGAATAGCGTGTATTAATTTTGCTATAAATCATTTTCCATAAATTTTCCCCATGTTACGCAGGCGGCTCTAAATCTGCTCGAATGAAATTAAAGTAAGGATAGGTTGGAGAAAAAGGGAACATAGACATGCAATTGTTAGGATACATATGTACAATATACCCAAAGTGGCCCAGTCCCACTTTACTACTTTCCTTACTGTTCCTTACTGTTTTTTTTTTGTTTGTCCGACTTTATCGTAATGGCGCACCAAACTCCAAATATTTGTCCTCCCATGTATATTTTTTCGTCCGATTTTATCTAAATGGTCCATTAAATTATCTAAATGGTCCATTAAATTCCCAAAATTTTCAGTACACTGAAAATCGGCTCAGATTTAGATATAGCTCCCATATATATTTTTTTCCGATATTAAGTAAGTTGCCCACTAAATACTCACTACTAGGCCGATTGACACCACATTGTAGCCATAATTTAATTAATATTTATTTTAGTTATTGATTTCATTTGTTTGGAGACCTATAGTGAAATTTAGTGGAGAATGTCTAAATTTCTGTATAATGTGGTCTCAGTTGAAAAATATCCAAATTTTAACAAGGAAAATATAATTTTATTTAAATTACACATTATATGCATAATTTTATTTATATTAATTATAGTTTTTGATTTCATTTGTTTGGAGACCTATAGTAAAATATAGTAAATGATATTTTTCCTCTTGGCAACTTCCTCCTAAAAATATTTACTATAGTTAGCGATTTCTTGTGTTTGAAGACCTATAGTGAAATACTACAATGTAGTATTTATGTGTAATTTCGCCGTAGATGATAAATATCCAAATTAAAAAAAAAAAACAGTAACGAAAGCTCAAAAGTCCGACAGGGCCGACTTTATGACATCTTTCACCACTTTGGATACATACAAGACATGCTAATATATACAATATACATTCGGATTCTTTTGTGTACCACTTGTATGAAATCGAGCAAAATAATGAATGTGGAGCAACCGTGGCATAAACGATTGGTATGCTACAGCACAGCGCGCTGACCACAATTTTACCTCGTGTATAGGGAAAAGACGTATGCTGCACCATTTACAAAAAAAAAATATTATATATCGAATAAACATGGGTGCACCATTTACATAAAATCAGACGAAAATATTCCCATATCCGATCCGATATTCCGTCCGATTTTATGTAAATCTAAATCTGATCCGATTTCAACAAAACTTCGCATACATCTATCTGGACATAACTCCGTACATAGACTTACTTAAGTTCGCTGTGCAAAATATCTCTTTATCGGAAAAATATATGTGGTTTGGTGCACAATTTAGATAAAATCGGACGAAACTATATATGGGAGCTATATCTAAACCTCAACCGATTTCCCAATAATTCGCATACATCAATGTGGACCCATTTCAGTACGCTCTGCAAACTTTGGTTTGAATCGGAAAATCCTTGGGAGTTTGGTGCACCATTTACTTAAAATCGGACGAAACTATATACGAGAGCTATGTCTAAATCTGCACCGATTTTAGCAAAACTTCGCGGATATCAAACTGAACTTAGGTCAGTACGCTGTGCAAACTTTTGTTTGAATCGGAAAATCATTGGGAGTTTGGTGCACCATTTACTTAAAATTGGACGAAGCTATACGTGAGAGCTATATCTTAACCAGAACCGATTTTAACATAACTTCACGGACATCAAACTGGACCTACGCTGTGCAAAATTTTGTATCGATCGGACAATCCGTGGGTGTTTGGTACACCATTCACATAAAATCAGACGAATCTATATATGGGAGCTATATCTGAATCTAAACCGACTTCCACAAAAACTTTATGTAAATAAAATCGGTCGAAAATATATATGGGAGCTATATCTGAATCTAAACCGACTTCCACAAAAACTTCGTATACATCAATAAAGACTTATTCTAATACGCTGTGCAAAATTTTGTATCAATCGAACAATCCTGGTCAGTTTGGTGCACCATTTACATAAAAACGGACGAAAGTATAAATGGGAGCTATATCTCTATCTGAACCGATTTCCACAAAAACTTCGTATACATCAATACGGACCTAATTTAGTACGCTGTACAAAATTTTGTTTCAATCGGACAAATATTGGGTGTTTGGTACACCATGTAGATAAAATCGAACGAAAATATATCTAAATATATATCTAAATATATATATATATCTAAATATATATCTAAATATATATATCTAAATATATATCTAAAATATATATCTATATATCTAAATCTGAACCGATTTTCTCCAATTTCAATAGGGTTCGTCCTTTAGCCAAATAAGTGAGCTGTACCAAATTTCATCTTAATCGGGTAATACATGCGATCTGTAATTTGTTCACAAGAATACATGGACAAACGGACGCACGGGCAGACAGTCGGACATGCAACTCTGAAATTGATTCTATGCATATTCTCAAAAGGAACCATGTGTCTATCTCGTTTCCTTTTGCCTGTTACAAACATATGCACAAAGGCGCAATACCCTCCCTGTACCACAGTGTGGTGTAGGGTATAAATAGAATGTTATATTGAATAATACATTGTAACTATTTTGAATAATACATTCTATAAAGATAACGAGACAATTTGGTATTCTAATCTACCCTCGTACTGAATATATTTTAAAGCAAATCTTTTGTATTAGTAAAAAAAAAATCCCCGAATGGGTTATTAATTTATGGAAATAACATGGATTCGCAGGTTTTTGTTCGGCTTATTTGGCAAATTGTGGCTAACCTTAAAAAGCCATAAACTAAAATCACAGATTTTAACAAAGCAATAAAATACACGAAAATTAGTAATTTATTCAATAGCGGAATAATAGATTGTAATTTTTTAAATATTTAAAAAAATTTAAATATTTAAAAAATTATTTATTTTTTAAGATTTTTTTTAATTTTGATATTAATTGATAAAAAAATCAACAATTGTTATTTGGTGAAATTCTAGCCAAAGAAAATCTCCGTACTTTCCTTGCCAACGGACAACTTTTAGCCAACAAATTGTCTTGAGGTATTAAAAACAATCAAATCTTCGGCCTAACAAAAAATAACACTTAGGAATAAATTAAGAATAACAAAAGAAAATACGCAAAGCCTATTTGAAGCAAAAAACAAAAAAAACATATTAAACGGAATAAATCAACGAAAGATTTAAATAATCGTCTGAAGTCTGAAGAAAAAACTTGGTTTGACTTTTTTCGCTCCATTTTTTCGAATATCCATAACCATAAAAATAATAAAATGTAAATCAATATTGGATTGGATTTTGGCAAACTTACTGGTCCATTGAGTTTATTGTTGGCTTAAATATTCATGGCAAAAAAACACCAACAACAACAACATAACATAAATTTTATGTTCTACGAAGATGATAATGTCAATCAAAGAAATAGAACACACAATTCCAATGTAAATGAAAGTATCAAATGAAAATCGTAAATAAAGCATTAAATTTTAGGTTAACAAAAATTTACCTATAAAAGTTCATCGTTTGTTAGGGAAGAGCACAGTCTGCTGTTGGACTTGAAATCATCTTAACAAAATGGTAAGAAAGGCTAAATATTGGAATATATAGATCTGAGATTTTTTAACTGAAACTATTTTTATTTCCCGCTACAGAAATTCCTTTTTGTCGCTTTGGCTTTTGTGGCTTGCGCCTATGCTGATGTTTCCGAATTGGGCTACACCTATGAACGCCCAGCCCCAGTTACCACATATGTGTCACCACCTAAAGCTTTCGAAAAGAAGACTTATGTACTACCCGCACAAGCTCGCGTTACAACTAAAGTAGTTCCAGCTCCAGTTGCTCCCGTTACCACATATGTGTCAACACCTAAAGTTTTCCAACCTCAGACTTATGTCCCACCCGCACTAGGTCGCATTGTAAAACCCATTGTTGAACCCTTTGGTAAGCGCACTTTTAAACCCATTTCTGAACTCGAGGGCACTTATGGACCCATTGTTGAACCCTTTGGTAAGCACACTTTTAAACCCATTTCTGAACTCGAGGGCACTTATGGACCCATTGTTGAACCCTTTGGTAAGCATATTGCTGAAGACAAGGGCATTTATGGACCCATTGTTGAAGCCAAGGAATTCTTGAAACCCGATCATATTGCTAAACCCAAGGACATTTATGGACCCATTGTTGAACCCAAGGAATTTTTGAAACCCGATCATATTGCTAAACCCAGTGACATTTATGGGCCCATTGTTGAACCCAAGGAATTTTTGAAACCCGAAATTGATGGTTATCATTACAAGACCGTGCGTCGTGTTGTCTACAGACAACGTGCCTAAGCGTCCGATTAACAAAGAGTTCATTTAGTTTGAATCGTTAATGTTATAATAAAAAGTGTTAAAAAAAAATAGAAAAAAATTACAAAAAAATGTGTTTGACTATGGAGAAAATTTTCCCGTAGAGGTTCATATTTTCAAGCCTTTCCCCCATATAAATGTTCCCCCTAATGTTCGGTATTTTGAAGGATTTAGCCACAGTTTCCAACCGAAGTGGTTGGTTGTAATGTATCATTCCGGGTTTTTAAAAGAAGCAAAAAACCTTTACAGACAGATTTCAATTTAAGTCTACCTGTTGCTATAGCCCCCGTAAACAGCGTATTAGGCGTAATTTGCTAGGTTCTTTGATGGTAAAACAACAAAACTAGTAAGGTCGGACGGGCCCGACTATATGATATCCTTCACCACATACAGGAGATGCTCATACATGCAATGTCTTGTCGATAGAACAGACATACTATCTTTAGAGGATAATCGACATGCAATCGGTCTAAATCTGAACCGATTTTCAAGAAACAAATCATTCTGGACTCAATTCAGTACGCTATGCTAAATTTTGTGCAAATCGAAAGAAATGTATGGACTTTCATACACTATTTATAAACCAGTAAGGAAAGTAGAAAAGTTGGACGGGGCCGACTATATGATACCCTTCACCACTTTGAGTATATTCAACAGATGAAGCCTAACAGAAGTCGCATTTTTAAAGGACCAGTAAAATGAAATTGGAACCATAAACACGTCATTCTGCAACCGATACTAAATTGTTCATTTGGAAAGATATATAAAACTATATATAAATCTGAACCGATTTTCAGGAAACTTAACACACATCATTCTAGACCTAATTTGTTACGCTGTGCCAAACTTCGTGCTTAAATCGACTCAAAAAGTGATTTTCTGCATATTCTCAAAAAGAACCATGTGTCTGTCTCGTTTCTTTTGCCTGTTACTAACATATTTACAAAGACATAATACCCTGTACAGGAAAAAAGAACCTCAAAACTTGGGGGCTACAAGAAAAAATTGACCAATATTTATAATTTATAGTGGAGAGATGTGCTACCTAATAAGAACTCGACGTACTAAATTACAGTCAATTTGGTCGAAAAATACGATCAGAACCCCAAAAATACCAAAAATGTTGGGGGTACCGTTATATGGGGACTACCATAAAAACTGGACCTATATTTATAATTTTTAGTGGAGTAATTTGGTACCCAATAACAACCCAATGTACAAAATTTCAGAGAATTCAGTCATAAAACGAGCCCAAGAACCCGAAAATACCGAAAAGTGGGGGTACCCTTATACGGGGGCTTTCCGAAAAAATTTACCTTTATTTATAATGTTTGGTAGGGAGATTTGCTACCCAATAAGAACTCAAAGTACCAAATTTCAGCGAATTCAGTTTAAAAACGCGCTCAAGAACCTCAAAATGACGAAAATTTGGGGTAATCTTATATGGGGGCTATCCGAAAAAATGGACCTTTATTTATAATGTTTGGTAGGGAGATTTGCTACCCAATAAGAACTCAAAGTACCAAATTTCAGCGAATTCAGTTAAAAAACGCGCTCAAGAACCTCAAAATACCGAAAATTTGGGGGTACACTTATATGGGGGCTATCCGAAAAAATGGACCTTTATTTATAATTTTTTGTTAGGGAGATTTGCTACCCAATAACAACACAAAGTATCAAATTTCAGGGAATTCGGTCGGAAAATGTGATCAAAATCCCCAAAATACCGAAAATTGGGGGTAATCTTATATGGGGGCTATCCGAAAAAATGGGCCTTTATTTATAATTTTTAGCAGAGAGATTTGCTACACAATAAGAACTCAAAGTACCAAATTTCATCGAATTCAGTAAAAAACGAGCTCAAGAACCTCAAAATACCGAAAATTTTGGGGTAACCTTATATGGGAGCTATGCCTAAACGTGGACCGATTTTCTCCAATTTCAATAGGGTTCGTCCTTGGGCCAATTAAGTGACCTGTGCCAAATTTCATCCAAATCGGATCATAAATGCGACCTGTATACTTTGTTAACAAAAATACATGGACGGACGGACAGACGGACGGACGGACAGACGGACGTGCATAAATCGACTCAGAAAGTGATTCTATGCATCTCCTCAAAAGGAACCATGGGTCTATCTCGATTATTTCTGCCTGTTACAAACATATGCACAAAGACATAATACCCTGTACCACAGTGTGGTGAAGGGTATAAAAAATCGGACGAAAATATATATGGGATTTTTTAGAATCGTCTGAGGGTTCGTGTCAGGAAGATATCGAGTCTGTAGAATCGAAACAGGAGGTCATTCATTTATGACATGTGTATGGACTGCCTACCAATGATAATCCGGGCCTTGCACAAACTTCGGCAAGAAAACGTTGTAGTAAATCAGGATCCGTCTGATATTCCTCAAAAAGTCCAGACACAGTCTGCACCTTCTAAGGAAGTCCAGGCTAGCGATACTGATTAAATAAAACGAACTCGTCTACTCACACTATTAGGAATGTGGGTAATAAGGCCGCTAGCTCCCCAATAGCAGCTATTGGGAATCCTAGAGGTAATTAGAGTTTCAATATTGAGGCAGAAAATTTAGACATTGTCCATAGTCTAGCGTTGCCTCCTTGCGATACGGATGTCTTCGACTCCGATTTTCTTTCGTGGGCAACCTTTAGATATCTTTTTTAGCGTGGTCTATATAACAATTCTCGATTAAGTGATATTGAGCGTCTTTGTCATTTGACACGAAGTACTAAAGGGAAAGCTCGCTATATTGTTTCTAAATTCCCCTTAACGAACCGCAGTTTTGGTCTGGCGTGGAACGCGTTGAAAGCCACATATGATAATCCTTGTTTGTTGATTCATAATCAGTTTAAAATATTATTCGCTCTTCCGGTACTTCCAGTTGAAACAAGTTTGGGTTGTTTGTTTACAATGTCCATTTACGACGTTCGTACGGATAATTGGGATCCGTTCTTAGTTTTTATTTGCCTTTAAAGGCTTCCGAAAATTGCACAAACATTGTGGGAGCAAAGTGTTAAAGACAAGTCATCTGTTTCGCTTTGGGTAGACCTCGATAGGTTTTTAACGGAACGGATTCAAACACTCATATCAAAAAATCTAACATTAACAAATTCCAAACCCACGTCTCGCAAACTCATTCTTATATGTATTCTGGGGAGCGGGAAATAAAATTTTGTAAGCCATACATTTGAAAGCAAGTTGAATTTGAGGAATTGGCAACCATATCGGCCCTGGGGGCAATTGAATTTCGAAATATATTTAGGTACTCGACTTTTCTATAATTTTTGATGCATAGATAATAATAATTTTTGATACGGCAAAAATGTGACTCATCGAAATATTGGTTTTATACTCCATGGTTCTTTGGACCAAATCAGTTTCGGACAAATTGGACTCATTTACTAATATCCGCCGGTCCGTCTACGTGTCTGTCAGGCTGGCTGATGTGCAAGATAACTCTCGAAGGGAGTAACCGATTTCCTTCAAACTTTTCACATCGTAAAATTTCTTCCAAACTTAAATCAAGCTACCCCACAAAATGGTCCATATTTTGATGAAAATTAATTTTATAATATGAATATCCGATTTCAACCAAACTCTGTAAACCCTAATATTTTATCGAAACCTGTATAATGTTGGAAGATGGGACTCATTAGTCCACTCCTTTTAGTATCTCCCCTACAAAGGGTGAATATTTTGAAAGCTTTTAAATCTCATATGCTCATATCCATCAAGAATCCCAATATTTTATGATGCATTTACTCAGGAATATGGCTTATAAATGTTTATCTTTATATACAAATAAAGCGCGGAAATCTCAAATTATGTATTTGCAGCTATGGTTTCTACTTTCAAAGTACTTTTGACCGCAGTTTTATTGGTCGTAGTAGTTTTATTGGGCGCAGTAGATTCAGCACGTAAAAAAAATTAAAATCACGCGGGGTTCAACCCAATAAATAGGTTTTTTATAAAAATGTTCTTGAGATATACATCAATCGAAGTGAAACCACGAGTCCTACGATCCTATAATAAGTTTAGGGCTTCAACTAGCTTCAATGTCAGCATCCGGCTTAGTTGAATGCGGTGGAAATATCGAAAAATCGTACATTAGAACTATTTTGCCAATATGGTGTTCTTCAATTCAGTCGTTGAGCAAAGGTCTGTAAATGGTGTATTTTAGTGATAAATTAGCAAAAGACAAAAAAATTGTTGGCTTCAGCATATTTTTACCAATTTTTACACCCTCCATCCATGTTTTTTTTCAAAATAATCGTTTCCGACCCCATGAAGTATATGTGTATTCTTGATTAGTGTAAAATTCTAAGGCGATCTAGCCATGTCCATCAGTCTGTTGTAATAACTCTAGCATCTGCAGAAACTGAGCTAGCTGTCCAAAAATTTGCACAGAAGTGCCAGAGCTATATCAGTCGACGTGTAGGCATATCCCCCATATAACGGTACCTCCAAATTTTCTCTATTTTGAACACGTTTAGAACCGAATTGGCTGATATTTTGGGTTATCATTAGGTATTAAATGTCTGTATCAAAAATTATCATTATTGAACCACTTTTCAGTGTAGCCCCCAAAAAACGATACAATAAAAATGTCAGTATATTGGAAATTATGGACAAGTCTTTTAACCAATTTTGCTGTAATGTTTTTTTTGGGGGTTTTAATGGGTGGAGAATCTCCCTACCAAAAATGGTCAATATTGGTCCACTTTTTACGGTAGCTCTAATGTAACGTTACCTCGTATTTTGAGTATTGTTAAAACATTTTTCAACCGAATCGGCTGTACTTTGATATTTTGGGTTACCAAAATTTATTTACCAATGTGTTTTTGTCGAATATATTCGACATTTAAAATTACTCTCTTCCTTTGCAATTTTTCGGATATCCTATGTACAGTTACAATTGATGTCTTTGTTTTTGCTGAAAGACAGACCAAACTGTCCGGGGGTTAAAATAAGAATTGCTTTTTTTGTAAACTATGTGCCTTCATATGATTTTAAGTACAAAATTTAAGATTTTTATTCCGACAAAAAAAATTTTTTGACACTGAAAGGGTTAACATTGGTCCCCGTTTCAGTGCGACCCCTATATTACGGTCATCCTCCCATTTACAGTATGATCAGGGTTATTGGACATTTTTTAACACGAAATTTGTAAAACAATATGATGATGTGATTTTTTAATCCTGGTCGTTCAAATTCTATAACGTTTAAGAATTATATCACTCAATTTTTATTTATTCATCACTTTTATTTGCAATGGTTCTTAGCATGCATTTTATAGAATATAGTACGAAAACGGAAAAGCTCTCAATTTGTGAACGAATTTCCGTTATAAATCCTTAAAAGTCGTAGAACTATTCAATAGCTAACGATGGTGTAGGATAACACGAGAAAAAATATTTTTTGGTTCTCAGTGGCCCCCATGCATTCTATATGCAACATTTAGGCGGAGGGCGTGACATGAAGAAACTATCTTGATTATTTGCAAATGTCGAGTTTTGATAGTTTCGGAATTTCAGACCGACAATTGAAATGCCAAAAAATGTAATTAAAATCCCACATGCTCATTTAGAGACAAATTAAATCATCCGGCTGGGACCTTTAAAAAAACAAAATCGGATCTATTACTTCCAAGGGTAAAACTTTTGGTCTGTTTCCGTACTGCAAGAATCTACTACTTTTTACTACGATAACGAATTTTCCTCTATGATATCGAAGAAAATAGTAAAATCGAGTAGATTCTTGTAGTATGGCTTCACATGTAAGGCAATAAATCAATAGTTTACACTTTTACTGGGGAGACAAAAAGCAGCCAGTGACATGTGATAAATTGGACCTATACGTACCTATACGTTCACTACCTATACGCTCACTACCAAACAGCAACAAATAATATAATTGTCGATTATTATACCCTCCACCATAGTATGGAGGGTATATTAGTTTTGTTTTTCCGTTTGTAACGCATCGAAATAATCATTTCCGACCCTGTAAAGTATATATATTCTTGATCAGCATAAAATTCTATGACGATTTAAGCATGTCCGCCTGTCCGTCTGTTGTAATCACTCTAGCGTCTAAATGAATTGAGATAGATCGCCAAAATTTTGCATAGAGTCGTCTTTTGTCTGCAGGCAGGTCAAGTTCGAAGATGGGATATATCGGTCCACGTTTAGGCATAGCTCCCATATATGGGTACCGCCCAATTTTCGGTATTTTGAAGTTCTTGAGTGCGTTTTTCAACCGAATCCATATTTTCGGATAGCCCCCATATAAGGGTACCCCCCAATTTTCGGTATTTTGGGGATATTGAGCGCGTTTGTCAACCGAATTCGCTGAAATTTGGTACATTGGGTTCTTATTTAGTGTTAAATATCTACACAAAAAATTGTAAACATCGGTCCACTTTTTCTGATAGAACCCATATAAGTGTACCCCCAATTTTCGGTATTTTGAAGTTCTTGAGTGGGTTTTTCAACCGACTTCGCTGAAATTTGGTACTTTGAGTTCTTATTGGGTAGCAAATCTCCCCATCAAAAATTATAAACATAGGTCCTTTCTTCTGATAGCCCCCATATAAGGGTACTCCCCAATATTCGGTATTTCGGGGTTCTTGAGCGCGTTTTTCACGCGAATTTGCTGTAATTTGGTATTTTGTAGTCGTATATGGTAACAAATCTCCCTACCAAAAATTATTAATATTCACCCCATTTTAGGGGTAGGCCCCATATAACCCCCTTTTTATACCCTTCACCACACTGTGGTACAGGGTATTATGTCTTTGTGCATATGTTTGTAACAGGCAAGAGGAAACGAGGTAGGCACATGGTTCCTTTTGAGAATATGCATAGAATCACTTTCTAAGTCGATTTATGCATGTCCGTCCGTCTGTCCGTCTGTCTGTCCATGTTAAATTGTAAACAAAGTACAGGTCGCATTTATGATCCGAATTGGATGAAATTTGGCATAGGTCACTTATTCGGGCCAAGGATGAACCCTATTGAAATTGGGAAAAATCGGTTCAGATTTAGATATAGCTCCCATATATATATTTAACCGATTTAATGAAAACGGTCCCTATATATCTTTCGATTTGCACGAAATTTGGTACAGCCTAATCATTTAGGTCTAGAATGATGTCTGCCAAGTTTCATGAAAATCGGTCCAGATTTAGATATAGCTCCCATATATAGTTTCGTCCGATTTCATGTAAATGGTGCCCCAAAGTCCCTATATATCTTTTGATTTGCACGAAATTTGGTATAACGTGCTGAATTAAGCCTAGAGTGATGTATGCCAAATTTGGAGAAAATTGGTCCAGATTTTGATATAGCTCCCATATATAGTTTCGTCCGATTTCATGTAAATGGTGCCCCAAAGTCCCTATATATCTTTCGATTTTCACGAAATTTGGTATAACGTGCTGAATTAAGCCTAGAGTGATGTATGCCAAGTTTGGAGAAAATCGGTCCAGATTTAGATATAGCTCCCATATATAGTTTTGTCCGATTTCATGTAAATGGTGCCCAAAGTACCTATATATATTTTGATTTGCACGAAATTTGGCATAACGTACTGAATTAAGCCTAGAGTGATGTATGCCAAGTGTGGAGAAAATCGGTCCAGATTTAGATATAGCTCCCATATATAGTTTCGTCCGATTTGATGTAAATGGTCCACCAAAGTCGCTAAATATCTTTCGATTTGCACGAATTTTGGCATAACGTACTGAATTGAGTCTAGAATGATGTCTGCCAAGTTTCGTGAAAATAGGTCAAGATTTAGATATAGCTCCCATATATAGTTTCGTCCGATTTCATGTAAATGGTGCACCAAAGTCCCTATATATCCTTCGATTTGCACGAAATTTGGCATAACGTACTTAATTGAGCCTAGAGTGATCTCTGCCAAGTGTGGAGAAAATCGGTCTAGATTTAGATATAGCTCCCATATATAGTTTCGTCCGATTTCATGTAAATGGTGCCCCAAAGTCCCTATATATCTTTTGATTTGCACGAAATTTGGTATAACGTGCTGAATTAAGCCTAGAGTGATGTATGCCAAGTTTGGAGAAAATCGGTCCAGATTTAGATATAGCTCCCTTAGATTGATTTTAAGTAATTGACGTACTAAGGAACCAATAGGAACAAAACGTTCTGAAATTAGTATAACCTAACCTGTGACAAGTTTGTTTGAAATCGCTCAATATTTGGATAGAGCTTCCATATATATTTTCGCCCGATTTCAAGTAAATTGAGCATCAAACTCTTCATGTTAGTCAGATTGACATCAAATTTTGCACAACTTACAAAATTGAGCATAGAATTACGTAGTTGCGTTTTTTAGAAGTGCAGACATAGCCCAACGGATGACCTATTTATATTTGTTTGAAGTCGATTGACATACTTTATGGATAGATCTAGGTAGATTCACATTTAGATAAATATCACTTTTATTTCATCCAACTTTATGTTATAGTCCTGTTTAATATACCCATAGTGGTGAAGGGTATCATATAGTCGGCCCCGTCCGACTTTACTACTTTCCTTACTGGTTTTAATTAAATCGATGCATTTTTACTTATTGAACATGTCTGTATCAAAATCTCAATTTCTCGAAAAAGTGGACTTATAGCCTTTTCACGTTAGGCCACCCATTTCATCACCCTCTAAAAAATAACAAATATTTCGATTTAACACTTTTATTACAAATTATAACATTAACGAATCAACTAAATAAATTCCCTTATAATCGCTTAGGCACGATGTCTGTAGACAACACGACGAACAGTCTTGTAACGATAACCATCAACGGGAGTCTGCTCAATTTCTTCAACAGGGGCAACGGGTGCAGGGGGAATGTAAGTATTTGTAGGCTGCACAACGGGAGCAACTGGGACTGGTTCAGGGGCAACAGGTGCTGGTGGGATATAAGTGTTAACAGGGGCAACTGGAGCTGGCTCGGGTGCTACTGGTGCAGGTGGGATATATGTTTTCTCAGGTTGCACTGGAGCGGGAGCTGGTTGTTGATAATTGTAACCCAATTCGGAAACATCAGCATAGGCACAAGCCACAAAAGCCAAAGCGACAATAAGGAATTTCTGTAGAGGAAATAAAATGGTATATTTTAGATATTTATTCTGATTTCATTTCTACAATTCTAGCTTACCATTTTGTTAAGACTGATTTGTTTGTTTGAACGTCAAATAGTAGACTGTGTCGTATCGCAATAAATCACTGAGTTTTTATAGGCCACACTATGAAATGGAAGTTGATGTTTTCTTTATTGTGCGATTATGTTTCCGTTTGATTGCGTTGTTTTATATTTTCTTTATTTTTGCCTATCTTCTTCTTCCGTTTCTTTATATTCTCTTTAGTTTTGATGATGAATAGGTAGACCAATACAATGCAATTATTCTATATTGATATTTTGTTTTACACAATGGAATCATTAGCACGAATTTTAATTACATATCTGAAATTGTTTGAATGTCTACAGAAATGCCTAAATCGCTGAACAATTATTTATGAGAATATGCGACAAAATGGAGCTTTAGGTGAATTCCTTTTGTATGTTTGTATATTTATATATATAAATCAGGAAGTCTAATTCGATATGGATATGGATATTGTTGTTTTTTTTTTTTTTTTTTTGTTTGAAAAAACGGATCATTCTTCTAAAAATAAATACCACAAGACGAGATCTTTTGCTATCCAAGTATTCTAAAAAATGTCCCTCAAATGGGGTCGTGCAAGACAACTAGATATGCATATTTTTTTCGTCTTTTTCCACTTTTACCCAACAGGACTATACAAATAACACTGTGCTACAAAACAACAAAAAAATTTATTCAGGGTTTTTAATGTACCATTTCTGTTTAGATGGAGTCCCTGAAGCCTGAACTTCCTGTTGAATATTTATTGAACATTTTCTGCATAAAGTCTTTTACCATTCATTAATCCAAAATGTTAAACTACAATCAGTTGGAAAAATGCCACAAAATACCGAAAATGCTTCGGAAGTTTTATATAGAATTTATTGAAGGATATAGATTAATATTGAAAACTTTCTCACAAGGAATCCGGCTAGGACCATCAAAATAATTGTTGGTACAAAGATTTGTCTCGTAATAACAACCAAACTACAGTCAATTACAACTTCCGAACCGTTTTGTGTACGCTTATGGGCTTATGTGGGCCGTTTAGTTGGTCTCAACAAGTGAAGAACTCGGAAATTTGGTTTTTGAATTTGGCCTTAGACCATCAAAAGGGACTTCTATTGAACATTTCCAGCATATATGTCATTTATCATCGAAAAATTACGTCGTCATCGTCGTCAAATTACAGCCCCATTCTGTTGGAAAATGGTACGAGAAATGTTTCAAAGTATCGAAAATGGGTCGGATTTTTATACCCTTCACCACACTGTGGTACAGGGTATTATGTCTTTGTGCATATGTTTGTAACAGGCAAAAATAATTGAGATAGACTCATGGTTCCTTTTGAGAATATGCATAGAATCACTTTCTGAGTCAATTTTTGCATGTCCGTCTGTCCGCCCGTCCGTCCATTTATTTTTGTGAACAAAGTACAGGTCGCATTTATGATCCGATTTGGATGAAATTTGGCACATGTTACTTATTTGGCCCAAGGACGAACCCTGTTAAAATTGGGAAAAATCGGATCAGATTTAGATTTAGCTCTCATATATATTTTCGTCCGATTTAAGGTAAATGGTGTAATTGGCACAGCGAAATGAATTAGGTCTAGATTGATGCGTGTTAAGTTTCCTGAAAATCAGTTCAGATTTATATATAGCTCCCATATATATTTTCGTCCGATTTAATGTAAATGGAACACCAAAGTCCCTATATATCTTTCGATTTGCACGAAATTTGGCTTGTGTTAAGTTTTCTGAAAATCGGTTCAGTGTAATCTAACATGTCACAAGTTTCGATAAAATCGGTTTAGATTTCAATATTTTGCTTTAAATTTAATTACATAATTTTGTCCCTTTGTAAGTAACAACTCTATATCTGAACAAAATTTTGTATAGGTTGCAGAATGACATGTTTAATTTCATGTTATTGGTCCTTGAAAAATGCGACGTCTGTTACGATTCCATTTTTTGGATATAACCAAAGTGGTGGAGGTTATCATATAGTCGGCCCCGCCCGACTTTACTACTTTCCTTTCTGCTTTTTTATATATATTTTTTTCATCCGATTGTAAAAACAGTTTGAAATCCCCAAAATATTAGGTAGGGGGAAAAGAAATGTCGATAAAATCGGAGAAATGATAGAAGTTGACCGGCATGTTAGCAGTCTTAAACCATTTACACAAAGCTGGATTCAAAAAGAAGCTCGATGTTTGGGTGCCACACCAATTAACAGAAAAAAGATGGATCTAATTTCCATCTGCGAAGCCTTGGTCAAACGGAATTAGATAGACCCATACCACTCATAAAGTGAGAAATGGATCACATACGATAACCCTGTGCGAAAACGATCGAGGAAGCACCTCAAACGGTGACCAAACCAGGACTAACGGCTAGGAAGTTTCTGCTATGCATTTGGTGGGACTGTAAGGGGATTATTTATTGTGAGTTGGCAAAGTATGGCCAAACGCTAAATTCTGATCTCTTGGCACCAAGCGTTTATCGTCTTTTTCTTTCACTGCCAAATGTCTTTAGTGATATAAATTTGATATCTTGGGAGGATTTTGAAAATCGACTACTAGAGTTTTTTGCAAATAGAGAGCAGGACTTCTATGAGACAGGCATTATGAAGTTACCTTTAAAATGTCTACAAATCATACAATAAACTGTCAATATTTGTCCCAAATCGGATATTCCGAAGCATGTTAAATAAAGTCCTATATGTTATATAATAATAATGGATTTATTTTTCCCCAACCAAATATAGTACCTAATATATGAGGTCTATATCTAACCGTGGATCGATATTCATAATTTTTGTACGCGGATTTTCACTAAAGCAAAAGCTAACACAACGAATTACAGCCAATTCGGTTGATGTATATGTCTGAAAACCTTAACAAATCGAAAATAGTGGGGGATGTAACAAAACGCGGACCAAAATATCCCATTATCAATACCAAATATTCTAAAAGTAGTAGAAATGTAGGGACAACTTTTTCAGATTTATCTATATATTTAATATTCCGAGCTATATCGTGGTTTCAACTGACTGGCAGATTGATAAATAAATCGACATATAATTTTATTATGATCAAGAATACAAAAACTTTAATGGGACGTATAAAATTAATAATAATTGAGCCTATAATAAACTAAGTTCTTAAACAAAACATGTTAAACGATCTCGGTATTTCTGTAAATATTCAAACACATTGAGATAGGTCATTTAAACTAATGCTAATCGTCTGGTAAAACAATAAACAAACTGATCAATTAATTGTATTGACGGTCTACACATTCATCACTCAAAAAGCGAAAGAAGACACAAAACGAAACGGAAGACAAATGCGAAATTCATATGGAAACACAATCGGACAATAAGCAGCACACAAAATTCTATTTCATATATTGGTCTATAAAAACTCACTGATTTATTACGATACGACACAGTCTTACATTTGACGTTCAAACAAACAAATCATCTTAGCAAAATGGTAAGCATAGCATCATAGAAAAGGATTAAGAATAAATTAAATAAAAATAAATTTTGATATTTCCTTCCCAGAAATTCCTTATTGTCGCTTTGGCTTTTGTGGCTTGCGCCTATGCTGATGTTTCTGAGTTGGGTTACAACTATCAACAACCAGCTCCCGCTCCAGTACAACCTGAAAAGACTTATATTCCTCCAGCACCAGTAGTACCTGAACCAGCTCCAGTTGCACCTGTTAACACATATATTCCACCAGCACCTGTTGCCCCTGAACCAGCCCCAGTTGCTCCCGTTGTCGAACCTGTCAAGACTTATATTCCTCCCGCTCCCGTTGCCCCTGTTGAAGAAATTGAGCAAACTCCCGTTGATGGTTATCGTTACAAGACTGTTCGTCGTGTTGTCTACAGACACCGTGCCTAAGTCTGGAATTAAGGATTAGAGAAATTAGCTGATTCGTTAATGTTATATGTGTAATAAAAGTATTAAATCTAAATATTTGTTATTTATTAGAGGGTGGTGAAATATTGGAAACATGAATACAAAAACAACAAATGAGATAAATGTATTATAGCTGGCGTAACGTGTAAAGGCAATAAGTCCACCTTTTCTAGAAATTGAGATTTTGATACAGACATGTTTGGAAACACCCGAAGGATGATCTAACGTATTTACTTTGATAATTAAGAATATCACCCTATCGAAACCATCAATTCTACATATATGTTGCCGTACCAGTGGGTTGGTCGAAGTGTGGAGAATATCGAAGCCTTTCAAGGGTACTTAGTAACCGATCTCAAGAATTGGGAATCGTCCAATACACGTTATAGTAAATTTTCGAAGGCCCTTGGGTATGTAGGTACCGTCATACTAAAACCCTAATGCCTTTAGTAAAATAACGAAATAAATAACACAGGATTATGATTTTAAATAGACCTAATACTTCTGATGAAAGAACGTATGTTAAGTTTGGAGAAATGTTCTCTCAGCCGTCCTAGAATCGAAATTTACAAACACTTCGATATGAAAATGTGTCTAAAACTTTTAAATACTCGATATTATGGAGCACTTTATATATGGGGACTATGTTAAAACATTGACCTGCGTTGAAAATGTTTAGCCAATACTATACTTGCACCCGCCTATAAAGTGGGATAGCTTAAACCTTCAAAAAAAGAATCATTTTTATATGTGAGCTATGTTAAAACATAGATGTATATTGATCGTTTTCTCCGTAGATATATATCAAACTACAATAACCCACAGTGTCATATTACATCCACTTCGTTAGGATAATGCGACTAGATCCATTCAAAATATCAAACATGAGATGGGAACTTTATATGACGGCTATGTCGAAATATTTTTGCGTATATTATTTTCATCATCCAAGAATTCAATTCGGTACAGAAATGCGATTAGAAATTTCAAAAATTGGAAATTCATATGGGGCCTTTGTCAGCACATGGACATATAGTATTTAATTTCATCGCAGATGTATGCCAGCACCCGCAAACCCTGGAATGTCAGATTATACCCATTTTCGGTTGGGAAATGCGGCTACTGAAAATTGGGCGGACAAATATATGGAGACTATGTCAAAACATGTACCTGTATTGTTATTTGCCGGCATAGATGTATTTCAGACTCCAAAAACCTGGCATGAGAAATTGCAGTCCTTTTGGTTGAATAAGGCGACTATAAGCTTAAAAATATCGGAATCGGGTACAGTTATAGAAATTAAGAAAATTAGGCGATATCGATATACCATCGCTATCTCTATCGTGGTTTCAACAGACAGAGCGGCAGGGATACTGCTAACGGAATGGAAAATTTAATATACACTCGGGAAGATAATAATAATCATACCAGAGCCTATAATAAATTTAATTAATTAAAATAAAATCTTTAAACGACCTAGGCATTTCTGTAGATATTCAAACACATTGAGATAGGTTATTCAAATCGGTGCTAATGATCATGGAGAATAATAGAAATGATGATGCTGATCAAACAAACCGATCAATTAATTGTATTATGGGACTACATATTCATCACTCATAATAAACGGAGAATACAACAAAAAACGGAAGACGAACGCTTAGTTCAAATGGAAACGGAATCAGACAATAAGTAGCACATATAATGGTCTATAAAAACTCGGTGATGGAATAGGTAACAATACAGTCTAACATTTGACGTTCAAAGAAACAAATCAACTTAGCAAAATGGTAAGGCTAGAACTATAGAAACGGATTAATAATAAATTAAAAATGTTTTTAACAATTTTTATATTTCCTTCCCAGAAATTCCTTATTGTCGCTTTGGCTTTTGTGGCTTGTGCCTATGCTGATGTTTCTGAATTGGGTTACAACTATCAACAACCCGCCCCTGCTCCAGTGCAACCTGAAAAGACTTATATTCCTCCTGCCCCAGTAGTACCTGAACCAGCTCCAGTTGCCCCTGTTAACAGTTATATTCCACCAGCACCTGTTGTCCCTGAACCAGTTCCAGTTGCTCCCGTTGTGCAGCCTACAAATACTTACATCCCCCCTGCACCCGTTGCCCCTGTTGAAGAAATTGAACAAACTCCCGTTGATGGTTATCGTTACAAGACTGTTCGTCGTGTTGTCTACAGACATCGTGCTTAAGCGTCTGATTATGGAGGATTTTTTTTAGTTGATTCGTTAATGTTATAATTTGTAATAAAAGTATTAAATCGAAAAATTTGTTACTTATTAGAGGGTGGGGAAATATTGATAACATAAATATATAGCTGGCTCAACGTGAAAAAGCAATAGATTCATTTTTATACCCTTCACCACACTGTGGTACAGGGTATTATGTCTTTGTGCATATGTTTGTAACAGGCAAAAATAATCGAGCTAGAACCATGGTTCCTTTTGAGAATATGCACAGAATCACTTTCTGAGTCGATTTATGCATGTCCGTCCGTCAGTCCATGTTAAATTGTAAACAAAGTACAGGTCGCATTTATGATACGAATTGGATGAAATTTGGCCCTGCTCATTTGTTTGGCCCAAGGACGAACCATATTGAAATTGGGAAAAATTGGTTCAGATTTAGATATAGCTCCCATATATATCTTGGTCCGATTTAAGGTAAATTGTGTACCAAAGTCCCTATATATCATTTGATTTGCACGAAATTTGTCATAGCGTACTAAATTAAGTCTAGAATGATGTGTCAAAAGTTTCGTGAAATCGGTTTAGATTTAGCTCCCATATATAGTTTCGATTTTAGGTAAATAGTCCACTAAAGTCCCTGGAAATGTTTTGATTTCCTCGAATTTTGGCACAGCGTACTGAATTAAGTCTACAATGATGTGTGCAAAGTTTCGTGACAGTCGGTTCAGATTTAGATATAGCTCATATATATATATATATATATATATTCATCCGATTTTAGGTAATAGGTGCACCAAAGTCTCTGAAAATCATTCGATTTGCACGAAATTTGTCATAGCGTATTGAATTAAGGCTAGAATGATGTGTGCTAAGTTTCGTGAAAATCGGTTCCGATTTGGAGTAATGAGAATGTCAGCGTAAAATTTCAAAGCTCTATCATAAATATTGCGATCTCTATCGTGACTTCAGCTGGCAGAGAGACAGACATGGCTAAATCGTCATAGAATTTTATTTTTATGGTAATTGTTATAATCATACATGAGTCTATAATAAATTTAATTTATTAACATAAAATCGTTACACGATCTAGGCATTTAAGTAGATATTCACATTGGGATAGGTCATTTAAATTGGTGCTAATGATTATGCAGAACAGTAGAAGTGATGATTAACTACTGATCAAACAAACTGCTCAATTAATTGTATTATGGGACTACACGTCCATCACTCAAAGCGAAAGAAGATTATTAATAAAACGGAAGACGAATACGATATTCAAATAGAAACGAAATCGCACAATAATGAACGCACACAATTCTATGTTATACATTGGCCTATAAAAACTCAGTGATTATTATGATACGACACAGTCTAACAGTTGACGTTGAAACAAACAAATCACCTTTGCAAAATGGTAAGGCTAGAATTATAGAAACCGTTTAAAAATTAATAAAAAAAATAAAATTTCATATTTCCTCAACAGAAATTCCTTATTGTCGCCTTGGCTTTTGTGGCTTGTGCCTATGCTGATGTTTCTGAGTTGGGTTACAACTATCAACAACCAGCTCCCGCTCCAGTGCAACCCGAAAGGACTTATATTCCTCCTGCCCCTGTAGTACCTGAACCAGCTCCAGTTGCCCCTGTTAACACTTATATTCCACCAGCACCTGTTGCCCCTGAACCAGTTCCAGTTGCTCCTGTAAACACTTATATTCCACCAGCACCTGTTGCCCCTAAACCAGCTCCAGTTGCTCCCGTTGTGCAGCCTACAAATACTTACATCCCCCCTGCACCCGTTGCCCCTGTTGAAGAAATTGAACAGACTCCCGTTGATGGTTATCGTTACAAAACTGTTCGCCGTGTTGTCTACAGACACCGTGCTTAAGCATCATATTTGGAAAGATTTTATTTAGTTGATTCGTTAATGTTATAATTTGCAATAAAAGTATTAAATCAAAATATTTGTTATATTTTAGAGGGTGGGGAAATATTCGAAACATGAATATATAGCTGGCTTAACGTGAAAAGGCAATAGATTCATTTTTTCTTGAAATTGAGATTTTTATGCAGACATGTTCAATACGTATAAATATGATGATGATCTCACTTCGTAACTTTGATAATTAAGGGTATCGTCCTATTGCAAACCTCAAGTTTACATGTCATCCCAGTGAGACAGCGGGTTGGTCGAAGTGTGAAGAATACCGAAGAGGATCAAATGTACTTGGCAAGGGATCTCAAGAATAAAGCATTGTCACATAACATTTTATGGTAAATTTTCGTAAGGTTCTTGAGTATATGAGTACCGTCCTACTGGAAACCCTCAATATAAATCCGAAATTAAAACGGCCTAAAGTTATCTAAATAAGAAATTTTTAATTATTTCTCGACTTACTAAAATTGGAATCATATGGGATTATTCGTTTTAAACAGATATAATACTGCTTTCAGAAACAAAAAAAAAAACATTTTTAAAGATTCGAGAAGTGCGCTCTCAGCCATTCTATGCTTTTACCATAACTCATCCTTATTTTTAAAGTGTTTAAAGTTTGCCTAAACGCTTATATGGGGCCTATCACAAAACATTGTAAATTGTCAGAAATAAAATTCTTCGAAGAAGAATACCCAATATTATGAAGCACCTTTATATAGGGACTAAGTTAAAACATACAAATATATTGAAAATGTTTCGCAAAGATGTTTGCTCCCGCCTATAACCTGGGACACTAAATTACAGTCACTGTGGTTTGAAAACGCGACTTAAATCTTAAAAAAAAAAACAAGAATGACATTTATATGTCATACATCTATATAGATGTATCTCAGGCTCCATAAGCCTAGTCTACAAGATTACAGCCATTTCTATAGGAAAATGCGACTAGAACCATTCAAAATACCGAAAATGGGTATTTTGTGCGTAGATTATTTTCATTTCATTTTCACATTTATATGGATGTGCCTTATTGCAAATATTCTGCATAGATGTTTACAACTGCCTACAATATGTAACGCCCAATTACAGCCAGTGTAGTTTGAAAATGAGGCTTAACCCTTCGAAAGGCCAAATGCGCCTTTATATCAAACCACAAGTAACCGTAGAGCCATATTACTGTCACTTCGGTAGGAAAATGCGACTAGAATATTTTAAAATAGCACAAATTGTATGGAAACTTTATATGAGGGCTTTGTCCATTTTATACCCTCCACCATGGTATGGAGGGTACATTAATTTTGTCATTCCGTTTGTAACTCATCGAAATATTCGTTTCCGACCCTATAGAGTATATATATATATATATATACAGTGGCTCCATTGAATAATCGGACAAGTGGTTGTCACATATAATAATGCTATACATTTCAAAAAAATTGTCTAAATGTGTAGTTTTTTCGCTTTAATTTACACATTACTTACTTATATTTCTGAACAATACAAAAAACAACAACTTTTCTTGTGATAACAGTAAATTTTGTCAGAAAAACAAAATTAACTCAATTTATTGTGTTCAACGCAAAATCGGACAAAGCAAAGTATCAATGTTAAAAAATGAAAAAAACGAGAAATTAATATTTAGTTGCATATCCTTTGTTGTCCAGAACGGTCTGTAAACGCTTCGGTATTGATTTTACCAAATTCTGGCGTACCTCCGGCTCTATGGAGTTCCACGATTCCAGTAAAGCCACCTTAAGCTGTACTAAGGAGTTAAATGTTTTCCATACACTCTCCTAGCTAATTCTTCCCAAAGATGCTCAATTACGGTAAAGTCTGGGCTCTGTGCTGGTGTTTGTATAAGTTTTGGGCAGTTATGGATCAACCAAAGCTTTGCAACACCTGATGTGTGCTTGTCTTGATAAAAGGCAAAGTTGTTCGCGATACCCAATTTGTCTGCACTTTGCTTTACATTTTGCTTTAAAGTGTTGAGGTAGACAAAATTGTCCATTTTACCATCAATAAAATGCAAATTGCCTACTCCCGCACTCGACATGCAGCCCCAATCCATAACAGAACCTCCTCCGTGCTTAACAGTGGCTTTTGTATTCTTATGATTAAATTCAGCATTTGGCTTACGCCACACATACATCTTTCCATCTGACCCGTGCAAGTTAAATTTGCTTTCGTCAGTAAACAGAACCTTAATATAATGAAAACTATCAATAGAAATGCTGCTTCCAAAAATCTTCTGGTATTAGTAAATACTCCTTTTGTCCGATTATGCGATGGAGCCACTGTATATATATATTCATGATCAGGGTAAAATTCTAAGATCTAGCCATGTCTGTCCGTCAGCTGTAATCACGCTATCCTCTGAAGGAATTGAGATATGTGCTGACATTTTGCATAGGTTTGTCTTTTGTCTGCAGGCAGGTCAAGTTCGAAAATGGGATATATCGGTCCACGTTTAGGCATAGCTCCCATATAACAGTACCTCCCAATTTTCGGTATTTTGGGGTTCTTGAGTGCGTTTTCCAGCCGATACTAAATGTTTCCACAAAAATTATAAATATAGGTCCACTTTTTCTTCCCCATGTTCGAACTTGAACTAATGTTGAAAGAAATAATAAGATGGTCAAAGTTTGCATGAAATCAAAATTTTTAAAACAAATTTGGTCTAATGAAACATTGGGTATAGGACCAATACTTACAGCCTGTTTTTGTAAAATTCCAAACGAACGAATTCGAGTGACTTACGACCAAACCTTTATTTATGTTTATAAAGGTTTTCTGATTCAAAACAAAAATAAATGATATATTCTTCAAAACCAAGGAGTTTGGTCGTAAGTCACTCGAATTCGTTCGTTTGGAATTTTACAAAAACAGGCTGTTAGAACCATAATCGGTTTGTAGAATTGTCGGTATAAGTACACTTTTTGGTATGTTTCCTATATTTTTATTTCAAGTACCTATCAGTATATCTAAGGTGCAAAATCCCGGCATGCAAATTACCAATTGATATACTATTTGCAATACGAAACCTCCTAGGAGTAATGACAATGTCAGATTTAAAATCTTAAAGGTCTATCATAAATATTGCGATATCTATCGTGATTTCAGCAGGCAGAGCGACAGACATGGCTAAATCGCCCTAGAATTTTATTCCTCGAGGTATTACAAACGGAATGACAAATTTAATATACACTCCACCCTATATACTAATAATCATACCTGAGATTTGAATTTAATTAACTAACATAAAATCATTAAACGTTCTAGGCATTTCTGTAGATATTCAAACACATTGGGATAGGTCATTTAAATAGGTGCTAATGATTGTGGAGAGCAATAGAAATAATGATGAAATGCTGCTCAAAAAAAAAACTGATCAATTAATTGTATTGTGGGACTGACTACATATTCATCACTCAAAGCGTAAGAAGATCATTAAGAAACGGAAGACGAATACGAAATTCAAATGGAAACGGAATAACACAATAAAGAACACATAAAACTCTATTTTATAAATTGGAGTATAAAAACTCAGTGATTGTTACGATACAACACAGTCTAACATTTGACGTTCAAACAAACAAATCATCTTAGCAAAATGGTAAGGCTAGAATTATAGAAACGGTTTAAGAATAAATTAAATAAAAATAAAATTTCATATTTCCTAAACAGAAATTCCTTTTTGTCGCCTTGGCTTTTGTGGCTTGTGCCTATGCTGATGTTTCTGAGTTGGGTTACAACTATCAACAACCCGCCCCTGCTCCAGTACAACCCGAAAAGTCTTATATTCCTCCTGCCCCTGTAGTACCTGAACCAGCTCCAGTTGCCCCTGTTAACACTTATATTCCACCAGCACCTGTTGCCCCTGAACCAGCACCAGTTGCTCCCGTTGTGCAGCCTACAAATACTTACATCCCCCCTGCACCCGTTGCCCCTGTTCAAGAAATTGAGCAAACTCCCGTTGATGGTTATCGTTACAAGACTGTTCGTCGTGTTGTCTACAGACATCGTGCTTAAGCATCAGATTAAGGACAATTTTATTTAGTTGATTCGTTAATGTTTAATTTGAAATAAAAATATTAAATCGAAATATTTGTGACTTATTAGAGGGTGGGGTCTAGAAATTGCGATTTTGATATATTCAATAACTAAAAATATATCGCTTTAATAAAAAATCAACAATTATTTTGTTGTTGTTGTTTTGTAATAATGCGTAAAGGCACTCAGTCCAATTTTTTTTCACATGTCACTATGCAATATCTATATCTGAACCGATTTCTAAAAAAACTTGCCAGAGATTAATTTATATTAACTTCAGTAAGTTGTGTCAATCGGCCTAGCTTTGAATCTTTAGTGCACCATTTACTTAAAATCGTGCGAAAATATATAGGAGGTGTATGTAAATCTGAACCGATTTTAACAAAACTTTGCACACATCATTCTAGACTTAATTCAGAACGCTATACCAAAATCGAAAGATATATGGGGACTTTGGTGCACCATTTACATAAAATCGGACGAAAATATATATGGGAGCTATATCTAAATCTGAACCGATTTTCACGAAACTTTGCACATATTTCTATACTCTTCACCACATTGTGGTACGGGGTGTTATGTATGTGTGCATATGTTTTAACAGGCAAAAGGAAACGAGATTGACACAGGGTTCCTTTTGAGAATATGCATAGAATCACTTTCTAGGTCGATTTATGCATGTCCGTCCGTCTGTCAATGTTAAATTGTAAATAAAATATAGGCCGCATTTATGATTCGAGTTGGATGAAATATGGCACAGTTCATTTGTTTGGCCAAAGGACTAACCCTATTGAAATTTGGAAAAATCAGTTCAGATATAGATATAGCTCCTATATATAGTTTCTTCTGATTCGAAGTAAAATGTGCAACAAAATCCCTATATACCTTTCGATTGGCACGAAAT